AATGTTTGGAATCAAGGCTGGTGAAGAAATGGAAAGGAGACTTGTTCTTTAGGCTTTAACATCATCATCGAGCCTAGAATCCCCTCCTATTTTTCGACCAATCTCACATACTTTTATTACTAGCACCTCGTTTCTAGCATGACCCCCCTCTTTGACACCATGGGTGTAATGGTGGCTGAGAGCACCAAGATTCTGGAAATCTGGACCCAAAGGATCTCCTAAATAAACTGAAATCAGATGGAAGGTACAACTACTTTGCAACACGAAAGAGGTTGAGGCTCCAAACTGCAATGAAATCCCATAAATGTTACCATCCTGAATTGCTACAAAAATCATGACACCAGATTCCAGTTTACATGGTATGTTAACATACCTAAAAACCCACAAGTTTTAGATACATATAGATATATCTATAGATATATATATAGATGTAGATATATCTACATATATCTCTCTACTCTTAAAGTCAGGCTCGCCTTTTATAACCGTACCAAACTCACTTACAGATCTCATCTTTTATTTCTTCTGCCACCTCTCCCCACTTTGAAATCTCAGACAACGTTGTCCAAATGACAAAAAATGCCCCTATTACTAAGATGATAATGGCAGTAATAGCTGGGTTTTATTGAATACTGACAGTATGCTAAGCACTGTTCCAAAGGTTTTAAATATATTGATCCATTTGATTTTCATAATAATCCTATGAAGCAGGGAAAGATTGCCATCTTCATACAGATAGGAAAACTGAGGCACACAGAAGTAGGGAGAAGAGCCAAGGTTTGAACCCAGGCTACCTAGTTTCAGGCTTCCAGCCCTCCTTAGGCAACTCTCTCTGTATCCCTTTTCCTGTATCGGAGATTAGACATAAGAATAGTATTACAAAGCAACTCCCCAGTTCTCAAAAGAAGTATTTCCTAAATAAAACACTTTCTAAATGAAAGAAGAAAAAACAAAGAATTCCACCCATAATATCCCCATATCTCAAACCTATTTTACAACAGTCAGCTTTTTTTTTTAAAGGTCAGCAATTGGCAAAATATGTAAGTGAAATTTTGAAGCATAAGGAGACTTCGTAAATCAAGAAACAAGCTAACTTAGGCTGGTAAGCTAAAATACGGAAGTACCTACATTCTATGGGAATAGGTATTTTAACAACACAGGTTCATAGATCAATGTCAACCTAAAGGGAGAGGATGCTGCGCTAACACTGACATTGACTAGTTTCATTAACTTGTCAAATTGAATTACAAATTTGTGGATAGTGCTGGGAAGTACAAATGGGAATAGGCTGATATGCTGGGATGTCAAGTTCTGAGGTCAGAAGGGATAGAGGGCTCAAAGTTACTTAGGTGTCTAGCGATGGAGGCTGGTCTGACATGCTGGTCTCCAAACTCCCTTTCCTACACTTACTGAAAACACTGGGGAACTAAACAGTCACCCTTTTAGTTATATCCTCCTAATCAATCATCTTCACTTTGGATGAGATGAGCTAAAATAAGGTAACTAGAATTATTCATAAGTAATCATGTCCAATGCTGTCATGTAAAAGCAAAGGCAACAGTAAGATATTTTGAAAGAACTTCAGGATTCCACATTTTTAAAGAACACAAACACAATATACAATCTAAGTATTTAAGGTCTTACCCTAGGCTTAAGGAAAATAAGGTGTAGAGACTAAAAATGACAGTTTCATCATTTCCATTAAATGCTACCATTGATAACAGCTGATGGTAATGTTATCATATGCATTATACTCAATCCTATTGTAATATGCATTTTCTAGACATTGAAATTAAATATATGGAAGCTTCATCAAGTAACTTATTTATAATAAGCTGATCTCACATTATTATTCTAGAGGGAATGGCATAAGGGGTATTATTTGTATCCATTTTCAATCTAAATACTCTATTCAGGGAATGTCCATTTCTGGGAACATGGAATAGACACAATTTCCCCTACCTTTCCTGAGGACCCTGCATATGATATATAGATCACATATAATATTCAGAAAGGTGGAGATAAGGCAAAGCAACTAAGGACCTCAGAACCAGAGGAACATCATTGTGGTGAATTCCCTAAATTGTTTCAGGGCTGAAGAAACTGGCAGCTCAGAAATGCCAATGATGCAAGGTGGGGGAGGGGGAAGCCCCATCAAAATCCAGTTCTTTCTAGCCAAAGTAGCACAAAACAGGTAGCCTTGCAGGCCATAAAATTTTTAGGCAACCACCACTCTACTCAGCTAAACACCACAGACAAAAAACTGTGGCCCCACCCCTACTGATGCCAGCAAAGGCCTAGTTGGAGCGTCATTCACCCTCAAGAGCCGGTAAGGTAGCCAGTCCTCCTGCTGGGTGGTGTCAGGAAGGACCAGGTAGGGAGCTTGCTTCCATCCCCACTGGCTGGTAACAAGCCCCCTCTCCACCAGTGTCAGTGGCAATCCTGCTGAGATGCAGGGCTTCCGCCTTCTCCCAGCAGTAATAAGCTTTCCTAAACCTACACAGGAATACTTACAGTGGCCTTAGTCATAATTTCTAAAAAACTGGAAACCACCAGATGCCCTTTAACATATAACTGTAGTATAACATCATAACTTAGAATATGCAATAACCTGAATCAATCTTCTAGTTATGCTGAGTGAAAAAAACCATCCCCCCAAAATGTATAATCTATTATAATTTCATCAGTATTAGAGATGAAGAACAGATAAACAATTGTGAAGAGTTAAGGAGGTAGGCGTAGCTATAAAAGTACAGGAGGGTAGCAGCTATAAAGAGCAACATGAGGGATCCTTGTGGTGATAGAAATGTTCTGCATCTTGATTGTATCATTTCTATATCCCAGATACAATTATTTTACTTAATTTACAAAATGTTACCATTGCAGTAAACTGCATGTGAACTTATAATTACCTAAAAATAAAGTTAAATTTAAAAAGAAATCCACTATTCCTTTTAAAAGAGTCCTTGCTAATGCAAAAAGACAAGGAAATAAACATATACAAGTTGGAAAGACTAAATTGTCTTTGTTCACAGACAACATGATTGAAAGAATTGGGAAAAAACAACAACAACCCTAGCACTACGGAATTACAGCAAGGTTGCAGGATATAAAGTTAATACACAAAAATAATTGCTTTCCTATACACCAATAATGAACATGTGGATTCTGAAATTAAAAACACAATACCATTTACATTAACAAACTTCAAAATAAAATACTTAAGGTATCTAACCAAATTTGTTAAGGTCTATATCAGGAAAACTACAAAACACTGATGAATGAAATCAAAGAACTAAATAGATACGTGTATTCCACATTCCTGGATAGGAAGACTCAACACTGTTTAGTTCTTATTAAAATACTTTTAAAAAAATATCAGTTCTTACCAAGTTGATCTATAGATTCAATGCAATCCCAATCAAAATCCCAAGTTATTTCATGTGTATCAACAATCTGATTGTAGTTTACATGAAGAGGCAAAAGACCCAGAATAAAAAACAACACTAAAGAACAAAGTTGGAGAACTGATGCTGCCTGACATCAAGACTTACAATAAAACTATAATAATCAAGATAGCGTAGTTTTGGCAAAATAGACAAATAGAACAATGGAGCAGAACAGAGACATAAAGAGACCACAAATATAGTTGACTGTTGACAAAGGCAACACAATGAAGCAATGAATGACAAATGATGCAAAAAACAAGCGAAAGAAAAACCCTATACACAAAACCTTTCACAAAAATTGACTCAAAATAAATTATAACTCTCAATGTAAAATGCAAAACTCCAAAAATTCCTATAAGGTAACACAGGAGAAAACCCAGATGACCTTGAGTGTGTGTTTTTTTTTTTTTTAGGTACACCAAAGATACGATCCATGAAAGAAGTAACTGATAAGCCCGAGTTCATTAAAGTTAAAAACTTCTGCTCTGCGAGATAGTACCATGAGAAGATAAGCCACAGATGAGGAGAAAATATTTGCAAGGCACATCTGATAGAGGATCATTACCCTCAATGTACAAATAACTTTTAAAACTCAGTGGAGAACAATCAGATTAAAAAATGGCCAAAGACCTCTAAACACCTCTAGCAAAGATGATACAAAGATGGCAAGTAGGCATATGAAAAGATGTGCCACATCATGTGTCATTGGGGAATTGCAAATTAAAACGAGATACTGCTACTACACACCGATTAGATTGGCCAATATCTAGAACACTGAAAACACCCAACACCAGTGAGAATGTGGAGCAACAGCCAGTTTTTGCTGATGGGAATGAAAAATGGTACCGCCACTTTGGAAGACAGTTTGGCAGTTTCTTACAAAAACTAAACATACTCTTACCGTACAGTCCAGCAACGACGTTCGTTACTATTTACCCAAATAAGTTGAAAACATGTCCACCCAAAAACCTGCACAGGAATGTAGCAACTGCCAGAGAACTTGGAAGCAAGATATCCTCCAGTAGGTGATATGGTAAACTGTGGTGCTTATATAGGACAGAATACTATTAAGCACTAAAAAGAAAAGAGCTGCCCTGGCTGGTGTAGCCTGTGGACTGAGCATCAGCCTGAGAAACCAAAGATTGCTGGTTCAGTTCCTGGTCAGGGCACAAGCCTTGGTTGCAGGCCAGGTTCCCTGTTTGGGGCATGAAAGGCAACTGATCCATGTTTTTCTCGCATCTACTATTTCTCTCCCTCCTTTGTCCCTCCCCATTCTCTAAAAAGAAATAAAATCTTCAAAAAAATTTAAAAAAAACAAAAAACAAATGAGCTATCAAACAATAAAAAGATACGGAGGAAACTTAAATGCAAGAGGCCCATCTAAAAATGCTACAATACGGTATGGTTCTAATTATACTACATTATGGAAAAGGCAAACTATGAAGACAAATAGATCAGTAATTGTCAGATATGGAAATGAATAGGCAAAAACAGTTGTTTTAGGGCAGTGAAAACACTCCGTAAATTTTAATAAATGTCATTATTTGTCCAAACCCATAGAAAGTACACCAAAAGTAGCCCCCTGCCCTTGTTGGTGTGGCCCAGTTGGCTGGAGCATGGTTCCTGCAACCAAGAGGTTGCAGGTCGATTCCCAGTTGGGGCACATGCGTAAGTTGCAGGTTTCACCCTCAGCCTGGGCCCATACAATCTCCGGTCTGATCGCGTAGGGGAGGCAACCAATCAATGCCTCGCTCTCACATCGCTATTTCCCTTTCTCCCTTTCTCCCTTTCAGAAGGCAGTAAAAGGGTGCCCTCAGGTGAGGACTGAAAAAAAAAAGTGATTCGCAAGTTAAACTTGATTATGATGTGTCGATGTAGGTTCACCCTTGGTAAAAAAATGTACCATTCTTGTGAGCGATGCTGATAGTGGCAGGGGCTACAGGGGCACCAGAAAAATCTGTTCAATCTTCTCAATTTTATAACCCCAGAACTACTCTTAAGAAAATAATCTTGAAAGCAAACAAACAAACAAAAAAACCCCCTATCTTCATCTTAGTTTACAGGCCTGAAATAAGTTAACAAAGAGGTACATTGAAATGTCAGACAGACAATTTGGTTCATTTCCTGAAGGACTTCCTCCTCTAAAAAGAGTGGCATTTCCAGAGTCCAAGTGTCAGATATCTGATTTTGCCAAGTCAGGAGGGATTCAACATTTGCCCAGCTAAGTAGAATCTATAAATCCTCTATTAATGCATGTTTTTGAAACATCCAATATCTATGAGGAAAGAAGGTAAATGATGATGAAAATATAATCAACATGCTGAAATTTAAAAGTACCTGTTAGTCACATGAATTTTTTATGGCTTGAAATGGGCAAAAAAAGAAATGTCACTTTTCCTGCCCTTAAACTCTCTTATTTACCTCTGGTAAAAATGTATTCAAGATTGTTGTGATTTTGTATTAAACTACATTATTTTGAGAGAGAACTTTATTTGCTTTATACAACAGTAAAAACTCTATTACACATTAACATAATATATATCATGATATATATTGCCTACTAAAAAGTTTTGCCACTGTTTAAAAAAAAAGAACAAAAAACTGAAAGTGACTTGGTGATTTTTTAAGTTGTACATTTTCTCCCAAAGAGGAAATTCCTAGCTTTTACTTGGAGGAAAAAATTAGATACATTTGAAAAGAATGATTCCATCTAAAAAGTTTTTCTCTTAGGAGAAATCTGAATTCACTGCATTTATTCATACTTTCTTCTTTTTTCTCTTCTTTTCCAATGTTTCTACCATTTTTCTCTTCTTGGTTGACACCAGGCCACTTCCTTTTGTTGGCTTCTTACTGACACCAGTTAAACCACATTTCTTCACGCTAGGTTTTGACTGCCTTTTTTCTTCCTGCACTGCATCACCAGATTCCCTTTTGCTGCTTTTTGACTTTTCTTCTTTATTTACTAAAACACAAGACAATGCATGTAAGATTGTTTCTCCCCACTGAAAAAGAATCGCAGGATGACAATAAAGTAAAGTTATCTGGGTCTCCTTCACTTCAACACTTCAAGAAGTAACCAATTATTCAATTTTTTTAAATGACCAATTTCATTTACCTAGAGAAGGCTCTGCAGCTGGAGGAAGGCTTTCTTTCGGGTCTGTCATGCTGTCTAGCCACACTCCAAGGCACGTCAGCCTGGCGTTAGTATTTACTTCACAAAGTAAAGATGGGGGAACTTTCTAAAACAAACAAGAAAAATTCATAACATAGGAGAATTTTAAATAATTATTCTTGTTTTTCTATAATCAATACCTTAAAGCACTGTACTTTCTTGAGAATAAAATATGCTATTTAGATCTATTATCTTGATTCATAGTCGATTTGGCTATGTCCTTCACAGAGCCAATTTCTGACTACTTAGAAATTTTAAATTTGCTAAGGAAAGGGACCATGTCTTGTTCATTTCTAGGTGTTAACAAAGAACCATGCACAAAGTGAGCACTTAACAAACCATATTCACAGAATAATAAATAAGAATGTCTAGGAGCAGGAGACCATCGAAAGGAATTTTCCAATTATCTGCTCCAAAACTACTACTGGTTCCATAACTAATCAGGAATTCCCAATTTTTTTCTCATAATGCCAGTATTTTATCTAACAAAATATTACAGAAAATATCAATATACAAAAAAGAAAAAAGGAGCACTTCTCTGAAAAATCTGGAGTTCTGGGATTCTAACAGCTCAGGCTCACCAATGCCAACCCAAGTCAGATCCGTGGAACCCTAACTTTAAAATCATGAATATCAATCACACCTGAAAGACATTTAAAAAGCTTGTTTCATGATCTCTGACTATTACTCTTAAGAAAAAATTCCATCTCAATTAACTCAAGGCAATACTAACAGTAGTAAGAACTGCATTACAGTGTATTTACACTGTGCGAAGACACTGACCTTGTCCTGTTTAAGCTTCCACATTTTGATGAAACCATCACTTGATGCTGTAACAATAACATGATGCTCTGGAATTTCAAAACTGAACATGTCTTTTACCCTAGAATAGAAATATTAACACCATAAATGATCTTTTCTTCAAATAGTACAGCACTGTTAATAAGCTTCTATGCACACAGGCTCTTGATTTTTCAGTAACTGTGCTTCACTTCCAATGAGTCAGTGAGTCATTTTTCAGGGCCTAAATTCTAAGATAAAACTGACTCTTAACTGTATCTTTTACAAGTTGAAAAGATAATGACAATATTATAATCAAGTTATCACAAAAGAAATAAAGATACTTAAAACAACGCCCCCCACCTGAAGAAAACACAAGTTCAGTATGGAGAGACTAATAAGACAAAGACATGAATCAAGACTTTCTCCTATACATCCATTCCTCTCATTCCAGTGCCACCAACCCTAGTCTAAGCTACTATCATTTTTGCTCTGAATTATGAAGTAGCCTAACTGGCCTCTCTGCTTCCATTTTTGCCCCCTAACAATTTTTTTAAACATTAGTCAAATCATGTTACTCCCAGGCTTAAAGTTCTACGAAGCAAGGGTTTGCACTGGAGTAACACGGGAATGGAGGAAGTGATTGGGAATATTAAAGAACCAAGGCTGACCGTAAGTTGACAATTGCTGAAGCTGAGTGGTGGATCTATAGGGTCTGCTTCCTTAAACTGGTCTACCTGCCCTTAATTTTTTCCATAATAAGAAATTAACACAACAGAATCTACAAGGGCACTTAACATCAAGTCAAAACTTTTCACCATGATCTACAAGGCCATGCACCATTTGGCTCCCTTTAATCTATTAACACAGGTCTTCTGTTCCTGAAATGCACCCAGCACTTTTCTCACTCAGAACCAGTGTGCCTGAAGTTCTCTTCTTTTTAAAAAATAGTTGCTTTATCTCTGAGATCCCACTTCCCCTTCCCTGATCACGTTAAACAGGCCTGTATAGCGACTGCAGTATTCCGAGTGTTTACAAAGAGAGATTTCTTAAAACCTATTATTTAGAAAATAAGAGCGAAGACTTACTTAAGAGGTAGAGCATGCAACTAAAACACACTCAAGTATAACTCTTTACATTTTCACCTTTTTCAAAATTATAGTGGAAAAAAGCAGGGACAGTGCCAGACAGAACTGGGTTTGAATCCCAGCTCCATTGGCTAACGGTGGGGTAATCTTGGCAAAGCCACTTAACTATTTATTCTGAGATTCAGGGTCTACTCCTAGAAATGGTGAGCCATATGAGGGAACAGAGACTGGCACAAAACAGAAGTCTGTAATGCCCTGTATTTCTTCTGAAGGAAAAACAAATAAGGTATAAAGGGGAAAAAAGCAGACAAGGGGAATAAAGTAAAAAGGCAAGAGTGGTCAGAGGCAAAGCTCAAGGCTGTTTAATTTTTTTTTTTCCTGTACAAATATGGTTCATTTCAGACCCCCAAGACTAATGAAATTATTGAAAATGTATTTTGTGCACATGACTCGTCCTGACTTGACCACTTTTGCATTTACTAAGGCCAAGACATTTTCACCATCCTCTTAAGACTCTAGATATCATATATATGCAGATGTCTACCTCTGCAATTGTTCATGAAAAACATACATCCTGCCGTATGAAACTATCCCATATAACATTTATTGAGACTGTACCCATACACACAATAAATTAGCAAAAAAAAAATACCTATTTTCATGAGCTTTAAATTCACAGAGACACATTAATGAATCAGTATCAAAAAACCTTATAACTTCTTCATCTCCAGCCACTGCAAGGACAGACTCCTAAGAGAGAAAGAATGAGTAATCCAGAATGTCAAACAATTCCTACCATCATACATACACTAAACTTGCATCACTGATGTCTGATCACTTACAGAAAGAAACGTAACAGAAGATACTCTCTTTTCATTTGTGATGGTGCCACTAACAGATGCTGTGTCAAGATGATAGACATCTATTTTATTTAGTAAGACAACTACATATTTCTCTCCTTTGGGGGACCATTCCACTATGTGAGCATCTGTGAGTTAAAAAACAAAAACTTTCATAAATTTAAAAAATCAGAATAGGAAATCTTTATAATGCACATTTTCACATCCATTATCCTACTGAATACTCAACAATGAACTTATGATACCTATTTTGCAAGTTCAATTTTAGACAATAAACTGGGTTCAAAGAATCATTAAAGGTTATAGAGCTTGTAAGTGGTACAGCCACAAAAATCCCAATCTAAAATAAAAGAATGTAACCCAAATCATTTGCTCTCAGAGATAACCACCATCATGCAGGCAAATAAATGTGTATATGCATGTACATGAGTGTGTATGAGTGTGTGTGTGTGTGAGTGTGTGTATGTGTGTGTATTCATATTCTATCAAGTGGTCATAAAATACATTCCAAACAAAAATACTCACTTTGTTTTATATTTTTTATGAATGCCGATCTTCCTTCCACAAGATTCCATGTTCTATAAAACAAGAAGCTCATTTATGTTATAGTCACTGACTTTTACTAGGCTTAAAGGCAAGCACAAAGAAGACTTACTCAGATGTCAACTTACTAAATACATGGCTATTCAGAAGAACTGCCATCTTTCCTATACAACAGCTGAAATATTTATTCTCAAGATTAACTTGTTAAAGGGGTATTCCCTCGTCCTTTTAATATATTTAATATATTTTCAAAAGGTTTCACCTTCTAAAACACTTCACAGATCACAATGATGGAAATCTAATGTGCATGTTTCCATATAGAGCTTGTCATTTTTTCCTTACCATTATAAAAAGGTTCACTAACTTTCAACCTTTCCTGGAATCACAGTATTTGTGGGGGTGGCAGGGGGGTGAGGTGGGGGGGTTCCTGTTGTACTTGAAGAATAGACCACAACTAAGGAAAAATGCTGTTGAGCATTAATGACGTACCTTAATGTCTTATCTGTACCCACAGACAGAGCCAACTTGCCAGATGGGTGAATAGAAAGAAAGGTCACGTGTCCTCTAAAAGGAAATCAACAGTTAGCCTCCAACTTGACTGGCACCTGGAGACTGCCAACAAGAAAGGGCAGGACTCACTTGTGAGCCTTAATTGACTTCAGGCACTCCCATTTCTTTGCATCCCAGACACAAATGAGTCCATCTTCTGCCCCACTAATTAAGTGCCTGTTGCCGTGGAATTTTAGGCAAGTTATTGTGCCTGTGGAAAAACAAAATAGGCTAAATTAATATTCAAAAGTACTATTCTGAATGCAAACACCATTTCTGATTTGAAGGCTATCCTGTGGTAAGTAAAACATTCAACGTAAGTATTACTGAATTAAACCTTATCACTTTAAGGGGAAAAAATTAACTTTTTAATATAGTAGTTTTAAGCTTATACAAATATTTTCAGCAGTTTCTCTAGTTTTACATATAGATTTGAACTGACCAGTTTACTTTCTTGCTCTACATTCCTGTTATCATAAACTTGTAATCATTTGTAATAAATATGTAATCATAAAAGAGCTGGTAAGACTAAGAAGTCAAAACTAAACAGCTAGCAGCTAACCCGGGGTAACAAGCAGAGAGGTACAACTATACGGCTTCTACTTTCCAAACAGTTAGTTACCCAATCATCCACATTCTAGAGCTGTTTTTTGGGGCTGTTTTTTTTTTTTTTTTTTGAATCCTCAAGGAAGATAAGTTTATTGATTTTAGAGAGAGGAAGAGAGAGGGAAACATCAATGATCAATGTGGGAGAAATATCGATCAGTTGCCTCTTGCACATGCCCTGAGTGGAGATCAAACCCACAACCTGGGTATGTGTCCTGACTGGGGATCTAACTCACAACCTTTTGGTGCATGGGACAATGTTCCAACCAACTTAGCCTCCAGACCAGGGCCCAGAGCTATTTTTAATTCAACTTCTACACAGTTCTCATTCACTGTCCTAAGAACTTAAAATGTTAAACTTCTTCACTATGCCCTCTCTTCTTCCCATAGTCGAAACATTAAAAGGTTGATGGGAGGTGAGTTGATGGAAAAACCCAACATTCCTCGAGCTCCCAAAAGCAGTTCATGCCATTACACATTTACCTTCAAGTAAAATTCTCTATGCTTTGAGGCTGTGTCATCCAGCTTATCTTCCCTGTAGCTCAGGGGTCAGAAAAACACTGCCTGCAGGCCAAATCTGGCTGGTGGATTCTTTTTGTAAATGCAGTTTTATTTGAACAGAGCCTTACTCATTCAATTACAAGATAACCATGGCTGCTTTGACACTACAATGGCAGAATGAATAAATCCTAGCAGAGACCATATGCCCATAAAGCCTAAATATGTATTTACAATACTATTTTGTCATTTATGGAATAAGGCTGTGAACCCCTGGGTCACTAGTGTTCATCTATACACCTCCTGGTCAATCCTTTACATTGCTCTTTACATTGAAAGAGCCAAAGAGCTTTTATGAGTAATTCTGTACCATGCTCCCCACCCCGCCCCTGCTTTCTATACTAAGACTATATGGGCTTATGTACCACTTTTCCTTCAAAGTGGGAGGCTTTAGCTATCTTTGCTCATGTTTTCCTGTTTCCCTACTGTCCCATTTCTTACTCTGGATGTTTTGCTTTCCCACTTCTTCCGCTCCTTCTGCCAATGACTCCATCAGCTCCCTGGAAAAGAGCTTATCTAGCCAACTGACAGAAAACGAGAATTTATGAGGAATAAAGGAAATCGAGGGCCCTACTTCATTCACTTCCCCCCATCCAAACTCTTACTGTAAGTCTTCTTCTTATTGTTGAACACCTGTAAAAATGGGTTTGTTTTGTTTATACCAGTTTTGTTTAAATTATTTCCTCCAAGCCTTAGAAAGAGAGAAGCCTTCCTCGTACAAACCAGGCTTAGAAGAGAGAGAGAAGAAATATATGTTATACCAACGCAAAGCCTAGCTTCTGTCAAAAAACAAGACACTTGTCAAAGTAGCTAAGGACCATCTAAGGACAGATACTGATCACTCCTAATTTACTGCTAGAAAACGATGCTTGGGATGAAACTTCTGAAATATATGAAGACAGGATAGGAAAAAAGGCTACCTGTCTTATGTGCCTTCAACTGCAGGAAGCCAACTTCCTTGGCTGAGTTTCCCTAAACTAAGTACATATCTAACTGATTATACTTATTTGAGTTCTTCCTTTCCAATTTTCCCTTTTCTTGAATACATGTTAAACCCCTCATTCTTCATCTCCTGGGAAACTCCAATGAAAATAGCATATACTATTCAATACTGAGGAAAAAAAACAAAACTACATGTTCAGTCTATTTCTTGATCCTGCCACTATATGGGGCAATATACCATCTGTGTGGAAAACCCAACCATGACTTGAGAATCACTATTTCTTGACTTCCTCAAGTCTAGTGACTTTCGCCTTCTCTGTATTTTGGTTCCTCACACCCACAGTGTGGATACTGTTACCACCCAGAGCTGTTCCACATCAGAACTTTTCAACTCTTAACAATCTACTCTCTGACCCCCAACCTCGTATCTTTCCAGATCTTTCATGCCTACCATCACTCACACTCCACCTGCAACACCTGCTTTCTTATTTCAGAGATCCACAGACCCTTAACAACCCATTTTCTCTAAGCTGAAAACCTAGTCACCAAAATCCCTAATTTCCCTGTAATTTAATCCTTCTGCACAAATCCAGTTTCCTTGCTCTGCAGAAATGTCTATAGTTTACTGCAAACCAATGTTACTAAATCCATAGCCTCCAAATTCAATTGGGTGGCTCTCATCAGTCCTTTTGCTTATTCTGAGTGAGCATCTCTTCCATATCCTAACTGCCAGCACCTTCCTCAAACCTGAATCAATTTCCCTCCCATTCAATCCCTAATCTTCTTCTCTTAAGGGTCACCAGGATCTGTCCCCATCTACTTCTCCTGCCACCCCAACCTTCATTTTAACCTTCCCGTAACACTGACCTGCTTACAGTTCCCTATGCATGCCACTGATTTAAAAACATGGGCTGTAAATCTAGGTTCAAGTTCTCGTTCTACTCTTGTGACCTTGGGCAAGTCATGTATCTCTGAACTAAAGCTTCTCTTCTATAAACTGAAAATACATGTACACCTTTTGGCACTGCTGGTACATGATACCCCTTCAGTAAAGTTAGCTGTTCATATGCTGTCTGCTCTCTCTGCAATACCCTCTCCCTCTTTGCAAACTTCACTTGGCTAACAGCTGGTATTTCTTTTTCTTTCTTTTTTTCCAACTTTAAAGATTTTATTTATTCGTTTTTAGAGAGAGAGGAAGGGAGGGAGAAAGAGAGGGAGAGAAACATCAATGTGTGGTTGTCTCTTGTGCATCTCCTTTGGGGGACCTGGCCCGCAACCCAGGCATGTGCCCTGAGGGAAACTGAACAGGCGACCCTTAGGTCTGTTGGTCGGCACCCAGTCCAATGAGCCACACCAGCCAGGGCTGGTATTTCTCTTCAAGGTAATTCGGATGTCATTTTAAGTAAGGTTTCACTGAAAATTCATTTCTTCCCCTTTCCCTCTAGATTGAGTTTAGTGCTTCCCTTGTCTTACAATACAGACTGTGAACACCTTAAGGACAAAGAACTACATTTTTTTCCTCACTTCTGTATTTCCTAGCATAGAACCTGCTTAATGAATTATGCAACTAAAGTCCAATTATAAAGTAGTAATATCTCATCATTATTATCTGAGAGGATATAATTTCTTACCATTGTGATGCACCAGAGCTCCATGGTCTACCTTCTTTTTCATATCATAAATATGAATTGTTTCATCTTTGCTCCCAGTGACTACAAAACGACCATTTACAGCCACCGCTGACAAGGAGGCCGTGTGGGCATGATGAGTGAAGTCAGCCACAGGAGTCCATTTCTCCTGAAGAGTAAATCACATAGTCAATGTCATAATCATGTCATAGTTCTCTAGGAACCGGTAAGTGGTTCCATGATCCATGGAACCTAATACTGGATCTACCAAATGGAGAAAACTATCCAGTGACAGAATAAAACAAAGAACCAGATAATTGAATAAGGAAGGTGAAGCAAGAAGATGGGACTGTGATGTTGAGTATCATGAGTCCAAATCAATCATTCAGATTTGACTACAGGGCCTTTTAGGTTCCCATCCAAATCGTTAACTCCTTATTACATTTACTTATATGTGACTTGCATACTGTTCACTTATTCAAATATCCAATTTTTATTTGAATTTATTCACTCAAAAACTAAGTGACTACTATGTGCCTAGCATCACTTTACAGTTGATATACAGCAGTGAACACAAGAAATGAAAGTCCTTTTTCTTATGGAACTGCCATTTCTGTGGGAGAGGCAAATGAATAGCGCAGCACATACAGATAACTATAATGACAAGTCCTATAAAAAACACACACAACAGGATTAATATTATGTTTCAATTAGTATCAACATAAGCCCTAGAGATGTGACTAATGATGAAGTTTCACGAACTCTACACTCACTGACAGGTAACTTTTGGATTGGATAAGTGTGATTGGTTGAGTGCAAAGAATGGATGCACACACACCTCTTAATTTGAAGGACATACATCAAAAAGTATTAGTAAAACAAACAAACCAAAGGGGGGGAAAACCCACCAAATTTCTCCGAACACCCTTATAAAAGTGTTATTGCAAATTAATTTTTAAATGACTACATCAAAAGACAGTCCTTCCATCAATAAAAACCCAGGGAACCTCTTTTGAGTAAAGACACAACATTCCTGAGTGGGCTACCTTGGCTATAAATTCAAAGAATAACCTTTGTGCATATTACAGAAGGAATGTTGGTTATCTGGGCTACTGCCTGTCTAGGTGTAGAAGCAGTACTGGGTAATGGTTAAGTTTCAAGTGTCAGAGATACCCAGGGATAAGTCCCAGGTCTGCCAAATTATTAGTTGTGTGGCCCTGAGCAGGTCACTTAACATATCTCAATGTCAGGTTCCTCATCTCTAACATGAGTATAACTGTATCTGCCTCAGAGGACTGCTGTGAGGCTACATGTGTCTGGAGCATGGTAAGCAACTTTATTACAAAGAGAACACAAGCAGTAGCATCACCTTTAAATACTCAAAACATGTCACCTTTCAACCAAAGGCAGAATAATAAGCAGAGAAAATAAACAGAAGCAATTAATCAAAACACACTACTAATTTTCTGGTTAATTCAAGACTGGCACCTTGACTTCTTCATTAAGAAATATTCAATGTGCCCTGGCTGGTGTGGCTCAGTGGATTCAGCACCAGCTATAAACCAAAGGGTCACTGGTTCGATTCCCAGTCAGGGTTGCAGGCCAGGCACGCAAAAGGTAACTACACATTGTTGTTTCTCTCCAATATCTTTCTCCCTCCCCCTCTCTCTAAAAATAAAACTAAATCTTAAAAAAAAAAACAACCAAATAACTGCTCTTAAAAACTCAATTAAAATAGGTTTCTAAAATATACCTAGGACTGCTTAGGTGAATAAAAAATAGTCCTAGCACCTGGCTGATGTCGCTCCGTGGTTTGAGGGCTCAACGGCAAACCAAAGGGGTCGCCGGCTGACGATTCCCAGGCAGAGCACAAGCCTGGGTCCCCGGCCAGGGCCCCAGCAGGAGGCGCGCGAGAGGCAACCACACATTGACGTTTCTTTTTCTCGCTCCCTTCCCCTCTCTCTAAAAATAAATACAATCTTTAAAAAATAAAATGTCCTGGACTACAAAATCTTATTTCTAGTCCTGGGTACCTGTTTGACTACTGGCAATTTACTTGTTCACTCATACATCTCATAAAATACTTATATTTTGTTATAATTTCTCTCCATACATTTGTCTTCCAGTCCTCGCTCCCTTATGCCGAGAAGGTATCTACTGCAGGATCCAGAGCCTTGGCTTCTTTGCACCTTCACTGGTAGTAACGGCCCCACAGTAAGGATCCAATGATGAGCTGATGTCATCCCAATCCACCTCTAATACTCTGTAAAGCTCCAGGCCAGGAATTGAGTGAAAGAGCGAACATCTAAACTGGTTGTCAACTTATGGGGCCGACCCTTAAATACATCTACGACTCATTGGCCCATCCGCAGAAGCGCCATCTTTCTTTGTGCACCGTGGTCAAAAATGTTTACCGCAACAGACAAGTGTTACCTCGTTTTATGAAATGCCTGCCCCATGTTTTAAAAAACTACCTATATGTAAGTCTCCTGAGTTTGATTTGTCAATTAATAGCTAAGAAATCAGATAGTGTATTCACCTCTGGTTTTGTCTTTACCCGGGCCCTGCAGAAGCCAAATCTGACCTTCCCCCGCCCGCAGCTCCGGTGGTCCCTTGGCCCGTCATCTCTTACCTCGTGGTCGCCGCTTGCCTTGCGCTCCGGGCGTACAGCGAACCCAAAAAGGACCTGCTCGTAGCAACCAGCGACCAGCTCCATTCAGTAGAACACGTGCCTCTTCAGAGAGCCGCGCTCACTGTAAGGGGCGGAGACTAAAACGGATACAAGAGTAAGGAGGTCCTTGTCTCTGTCGGCGCTCAAATAGACGTCAGGATTGCAGGACTGCCTAGGAGCCTGCAGCAGCAGAAACGGTTTCTACGCTTGAAAACCACGCAAAACTTCCAAGCGGAGAATAAGGAAGGACACCACATGAAGAGGTTCTCATTGCTGTGGAAAAAAAAATGGGGATAAACAGGCATATTCTAGGAAGCCTTGAGCTCGGGGCGTCTAAGAGGAGTGGGCTGGACTTCCTCGCGAAAGCCCCTCATTTTCATGACGTCTAAGGAAGGGGCAGGCTAGCTTCCGGTAGGGGCAGGCTAGCTTCCGGCAGGGGCGGGGCTCCTGGCCGCGTTGTGGTGGTAGTTTGTCTGAATGGTCCTGTGCTGTGGGCTGTAACGCCGGGTATAGCGGTTAGCTTTCCTTCATGTGCGGCAAGCGCTGGAATGAACCTGTTTTTCTCACAGTGTCTGGTAGCAGGGCCATGAGGGCGTGGGATTTGGGGTTCGCGGTTACCAGAGCTGGCCACCCTGAAAGTTCAGTCGTTTCCCGCCTTCCCAGGCCAGGTAATCCCTGAACACCTTTCCTGCCAGCTTGGTTCGTTTGTCTAACCCTGGGATTCAGTTGGCCAGCGTTGCTGCATATCGTGGGGTGGCAGGAGGACGCTTTGCCTGAGGGATCTAAAGACATACTGCGTGAGGAAGAAAGGTCCAGTTATCCTTGGTGAGCTTTCCAGAAGAAAATCTCATTTTCACCACCTGCCCAGCAAACATTAATAAAAGCAAAATGGCTTTAATTTACATTTGAGATTTTCATGAGGCTTGGCTATTCAAGGATGTGTCAAAATCACGTCTTCGCACAAACTCCAACAGAGTATTGCAATGTGCAATTCATCTCATAAATGCTACAGAAGGTCGATTTGACAAGCAGGAGGTAGAAGCATACGTCAGTGTCGATTCTTCAAACCCCGTTTAGTGGTAATTCTGTTGCACACCCTTTTGTTTCCAAGAACGTTTGTTCTCTGGTGTTCTGAATTGTCGGTACGTTATTTGTGTTTAACAAATACGTTTTGTTGTATTTGATGCGGGGTCTTACACAAATGATTTCACTTTGTTTGCTTTGGTGTCGTAGCACAAGGAAGACCTTGTATTCTGCGCGCTTAGGTGACTACACACGTAAACACTCCCCATGGACTGGAATGTTGTAGTTAATTCCCAGTCTCTGCAAAACCAGCGTAGTCATTCACTGTTTTATAATAACTCCTTTGCTTTGTGCTAGTTATCTTACTGTGTTACAAAAAGTCAAGTTATTTTACGATTTAAATTATTTCCTATTTACTGTTTCTTAGCTATTATCTCCAAAGAACCATTAAGGTCAGAGGAATGTGAATTGCTTGAGTGGGTGTCCCTTGGGCATGGGACAAAGAATGAGTAAGCAGGACATTTCTTTGAAGTCTCGTATATTATCTTTAGAAGCAAGGAAAATATGACCAGCAACACTGAAAGGAAAAAGAAATCAACAGAGACAAGAGGGAAGGGGGGTGGGCAGGGAAAGGGAAGGGAAGGGGAAAGTCAAGGAACATATAGTAAGGACTCATGGACAAAACCAAAGGGGAAGAGCTGAGGGAGGGAAGGTGGGAGGGGGCAAGGGAAAGAGGTGGGGGGAAGGCAGAGACAAATGTATTTAAAAAGTAAATAAATTAATTAAAAAAAAAAAGAAAAGAAAAGAAAAAAGAAAAAAAAAAAAAATAAAAAAAAAAGACCTTTTTGCATTTTACTCCGTGACTTGTTTAATGTGAAAGTAATATTCTCTCATCCAAAAAGGAAAAAGAAAAAAACCCAACTTCGAATAAAACTATTCCAAAATATTATGTTTTGTATAATCTGTTGTTTCTGGAATGCCCCTCGTGCCCTGCCTCATTACCCCAGGGAAACCTCAGCTGCTGTTTGCAAAGAGTTAGTACTCATTTAATATTTTTAAAATCAAAAATTTAACATATCACTATTAACAGAATAATTACTGTTTCAGCATCTGCTACCCTATTGTCACACTTTTACCTGCTTAAGTACTGGACATATTTTAGAGAAGAAACTTGGGGCTGGAAAAAGTCTTTTGCTCCAACCTTTTAGAATATAGTTAGTTCTAGAATGGAAACCATAGTGTAAGCAACATAAACATAATTCAAATTGGTTTACTTTTTTTATTTTTTATTTTTTTAACTGTCAGAAATTAGTGGAACCAATTACACAACTCAGATGACCTTAGCATTTACTTCAGGTGTTTCTACTCCTAGGAAGTTAATGAACCCCTAAAATTATATACACAATTGTGTATGTACATTTTTGGAGGAGAGTATTGATAAAATTGTTACATTTTCAAAAAGATTAGGGCCTTCTTAAGGTTAAAATACACTAGTAGGGCCTAAGGGTATAAATGCTGAAATAGGTCCAGAAAAGGAACTCTCAAAACCACACAAGTAACAGAACTAGTGCTGCTGCTGCTTTTTCTATTTCCTTGGACTTGAAAATTGCCTATAACAGAACAGTGGTTTTTCATTGTCTAAGGAAAAAAATAAACAAAATTATATACCTGTTCAACTGGATTCAAACTGAACATACTTCCTGCTCCCTTTTCCAAACAGGATATAAGAAGCTATTTAATCTCATTCTTGTAAAAACTGCAGTTGCTAAGAAACAACCACTGTTCAGAGTTTATTAACACTAAAACTACGGTTTTTAGTTTTGCTTTAGATTACTGATTGAAAGCTTATGTTTAAGTCATGCATTTATTCTTTCAGTAGATATTTATTGAATGACTTTGTTAAAGAAAAAAGCAGCCACTTTTGTGGTTTTTTTGTTTTTTGCAGGAGGACAGTGGTTAGTGGTGGTGGTCAAGTGGATATACTAGGCTAAAAGCAGGATGCACTGGAGAAAAGTTGGCGCTATTAGAAGTATCACGTGAGTCTAATATTCCTGCCCAATTATTCTCCTTTTCAGTGTAACAGGTAGCAAGTCTCTTAAATCTTAGGATTATAGAGGTTGCATGTGCTTATATTCCCAGAGGACTTTGGTCTTCTTTACACAGAGACCAGGGAAGCAGAGAGTGACCTACTTCCCCTGGTCGCTGGCCAGTGGTCTACCCTGATATAAATTTGCTTCACCTGCTTCATGGGACTAATCCAGGTGAAATAGGAGGTTTGCATTTGAAGCTTTTAGAAAGCAAAACAATATTTGTGAACTCTTTCTAGCCTCTCCCATCTATAAACCCTTGAATGTTTATCTTCATCTCTGGAGCCTTGTTCATGTCCTCTGTGCCTCAGCTCTTGCCATCTTCCCAGGTGACCCCCACCCCAAGGTGATTTTAACATGCTACATTGGCCCCTCTTCCTCAGCCTCCTTACCACCTTATTATCAATGATCAACTCCCACACTCCTTTCCTACTACAACTTCATCTCTTACCCATTCATAGCCTGAATTTTGATTCTTTTTACAAAAAAAAAGGTCCAAAAATAAGAAAAGGGAAAAAAACTCCAATATTAAAGTTTTTACAAAAAGAAAATCCTTAACCTATGTTTTGTTTTATGTCTAAGCTGTTATAGTAGTTAAGAATTCTGTTTAACTTCGTATAACTTAAAGCAATAGTGGCTTAAACAAGACTTTCATTTCTTAAAAGAAATCTGGACGTAGGCCAGTCTGGTGCTGGTACAGGGAGGTAGTCCATAGTTATTGGGACCCAGGCCCATTCTCTTATGTCCGATCCTGTATTTTTATGCATGATGTATTCCTTGATATTATCTCATAAGCCAAGATAGGTGCAGAGTTATTTTGGCTCAGCCATTATATCTATAATTTCTGCGCTAGGCTTGGGGAAAGGGTGGAGGACAGAAAGGCCTTCCAGCTAAGCAAACTCTCTGCACAGCTTTACTCAATCTCCTTATAATAGTTCTTACTGACATCTTATTAGCCAGATTTTGACCACCTGGCCACATCTCCTTGTGAGCGGGAAGCTAGGAAATGTAGGCTTTTAAGAGAGGCCTGTTACTGCCCCTGAATTAATTCAGGGCTCTGTTATTAAGGAAGAAAAGGAAACAATTTTGGGTGCCACCTAGCAACAATGTGTGTCAGAGCTGCTAGTCAATGACATCTCCCTTGAAGATATGGAGAAATCCACTAGAATATAAGCTCCACTATGTCACAAATGCCTGTCCCCCTGCCTTGTGTCTAACAGGAGCTCCGTAAATAATGGGTAAATGATTTAAACTCATCATGACCATTACTTTTCTTATTGCAGGTACATATAGAATACATCAAGCATTTGAATAGTGGAATAGTTCATTAATAGTGGAATAGCTGTTAACAAGCGTTAGGGAAATTGCCAAACCCTAACTGTTCCTTTTTACTCTAAAAAATTACCTTAAATTTTGATTCTTCATGTAGCCTTTCTACTTAAAATGAATGGGAGCTGGCTAGAAAGGCGGAATGAGGCTCCATTCCAAATCTATTGAATCAGAACCTACATTTTAAACATGCACAGGCAACGTAAATATGCACTGAAGTTTGGGAAGCTTATTGTGCTCTTTAGAAAAGAAATACTGAACCACAGATTTTTTTTTTCTTTTTTTTTTCCTGTACGCGAATTAAGGGGGCAGGGGACGTGTGTGTGTGTTTGATATATGAGTTCTTCCCACCAGCAGGTTGAGATGATTTCAACCTGTAGGAGATATTTAAAAAACAAAAAAGAGACCATGAGGTGGCCAGTTCTATTTACAAGTAACTGAACTGAGGAGGGAAGCATCAAATTTTGGTATTTGTCTTACATCAAAAGTGACTCTCTTCCATAGGTGGGTTGGAGACTTCCGTGTCCTTCTCAGTTGCCCACCACATACTCCCCTCCCTCCCCTTGGTTTCTGGCCAGCTTCCCTAGGCCTTACTCTTCAAAGCCAGGTGGTTTGTTGAATCCGGTGCTGAAGTTCCCCAGGTGACTCCCATGCACTCCTGCCCCCACCCAGGTCTTAACCCCATTAACCTGAAAGTCAAGCAGTTAATTGCCAAGCAGGAATTGCCACTCTCTGAGGCAGCTGTGAGAGTTATTTGTCAGGTTGAGAGGTTTTATTTAGCCCATGAGCTGGAATTTGACTCAGGAGTAAGAACTGTGGATTCCTCATCTTGTTTTATCAAGTTTCTGGATAAATGGCTGGACAGCAGAGTTTTGCAGGTTTTGACATAGCTCAACAAAATAATTATTACTGGTACTGGCAAAGGTGAGTTGTTTTTTCCTGCTCCAAATGAAAATGAAGGCCATTCGTGTTCTATTTCTTATATAATTTTTAGCAATTTACAAACTGTTGCTTTGAAAATTGGTGTTCTTAAACATTTAAAGCAGACATCATACTTACTTTTAACTTCTAGGGAAGGAGGAAGAGCCCTGTGGTTTTGAATGATTCTGCTGCCTTGGTTAATGATGTCATTCCTGTTGTCTCCCTTCCCTCTGCCTAGAGTGAAGCCGGAGTTTCAGCCTCGCCAGGGTTACCCCTTTAGCAGCTGGTATGAGCAACAGCACAGCTGTTGTCCTGTTTCTGGCTACAGCTGTGGTTGTGCAGTGACTGGAAACGAACCCAACCTTTCTGCGTGTGGGACCTCCGGACACCCAACTGAAACTTTAGTTATGCCTGAGGTATCACTCTCTAAAATGAGTCATGTATTGTTCATGTGTTAACATGAAAACATCTTTTTCCTACTTTCACACCTCCCCATCATTCAGATTCTCACAGTGATGGCTTTTGCTCCCTGTTTTAATACCAGAGAGTAGCAACTGATGATCTAAGATATTTTGACTTTCAAATGACCCTAAGTCCTCACTATTTTCTAAAAACAAAATAGGCTGATGAAGTCCTGTGCCTAACTTCTTGTTACTAAATTTTAGATTATCATCTTTCAGTAGATTTTACTCTTAAACAGTTAAAATAAGACAGGAGGGGGGGTTTTTTTGTATTGTTCTGATACAACAGTAAATATTAACACACTTTTAAAAAGATACTTTACTATTCTGATTACTAAAATAACCTATTTCTGAAACCACACAAAAATGTACTGGAGTGAAGGAAACCCTCCTCCTCCCTCTTTCCTCCCCTCTTAGAAGAAAACACTAAGCTCATCTTCTCCTCTGGATTTTTCCCTTGTACTCTTGCTAAATTATTGTGATTGGGCTTTGTTTATTTGGGGAGTTGGGAGCAGCCTGGGCAAGTATGGACTGTGTAGTATATACTTGTTTGCTTCTTGCTTCTGCGTATAGGTTGCATCAGGAGTGCTTTTTTTAAAAGCTGCCTGTTTGGCTATGCTGTGATTTAGCTCATCCCTATTGACTGTCATTTTAAATGTTCTCAGTGCCTTAACAAACTCCCTTTTACTTATCTTCAGGCATTTGAGTGTTTTTTTGGCTAAGAAAAATTTCTGAAAGTGGGAGATCTGGATTAAAGGATACAACATTTAAACTTTTGAAAAGCAACTTACCAAAAAGCCTGCCTGGGTTTACACTTTCCACTGCTCCTGTAGGTGTGCTTGCTTCTTTATTTTTTGTTGTTGCTGTTGTTGTTGTTGTTCAGTGTGATTAGCGAATTGGACAAGTGAGGAAGTCTATTACTGAGGGCAAAAACCTTCTGCCCTCAATACCTTTTGACTTAGTTGATACTTTTGTCTATCTTCTGTTGTATTGTGCCCCTTTTTCTTGATTGCGTAAGATATTTACATATGATGGAAATTAGCCTGTTGCAGTCAGTGTTACAGATTTTTGTCCGCAGTTTATTTCTTAATGTACACAGTGACATTCTTTGTGATGGCCATGGCTTTTACACCAGAGTTGAATTTAGCAGTTAAACACTGTTTTAAAACTTTCATTTGCTTGATTTCTGTTCTTTTTTCTTTTTCTTTTCTTTTTTTTTTTTTGCCCAACCTTTCTAATTTTTTAAGTCTGTTTCAGGTGTGCCTCTTAGAGAAAATGTATTGTTAGACTGCTCACCTTTTTTTCCTTTTAAACACAATTTGGGTTTTACCCTTTTAGCAGATGCTTGTTGCATCTTCTAAAAACAAAACAAAACAAAACAAAAAACCAAAACACTTTTTTCTACATTGTCAGGTTTTAGTACTTTTTTTTTCCCCTTTTACCCCTTTTTGGAGGGAGGGGAAGTAGTCTACCTGACTTCTAGGTAATTTAAAGTTACCTTTATATCTTTAAATAGAGAAGTATAGGTTTGAGTATATCAACAACTCCAGAAATGAAACCATTCCTTTTTCTCTCCATTCATGAAAAAATAAAAATTTAATACGCCTCTTTCTCTCTCTGCCACTCCTTCCCTCCTTTCTTCTCCCCATTTTTGTTGGCACATTTTGTTTTTTTAATATTTCACCCTCTAGTCAAATTATTACTATAACAAGCAGTTTTTCATTCAAGAATTTTAAATATATTCTTTTTGGTTACCATGCTTGGGCCACCTGCCTGCTCTCTTGGTAGGAGTTCCTGGTTATGAAGCTGATTGCAAAATTCAAGATGGTAAAGCTCTTCATTGAGTTTTTTCACTCGTACATCCTCACTTGAGCCCTTCCCTAATAAAACGTGCCCTTTGTGAGGTGTGATAGTTTTATTGCCCACTTCCCCCATTGAAGCACACCCGTGTCCCTAGCCCTTGTCTCCCCAAGTTAAGGAGTTAGCCTCTCCATTTTGACCTTATGTCTTGCTTAAGATTACAGGAAGTAGATATCTTCAAAATGATTCTCGGGTCTTTGGAGGTTCATCAGCACAACCTGCTCAAACTACCCCTAACAGACAGAAACCATTTATAGTTGTCCCTTTCTTTAAGGACAACCAGCAGCACACACTGCCCAGGTGAACCTCAGGCTAGAGAGAATGCTCTGCCTCCAGATAGGTTTTGCTCCACGCACCCTCGTAATTTAGGATCCACATTTACCAGATCACACATTGAAAAGGTGAAAATGTGAGATTACTTGAATATTATATTAAAAGAAAGGTCTCATTTAAGTACAAACTCTGGCTTCTTCGCCATTTCTATTTAGAAAAAAATACATCAGTGGTATGATTAAATTTCTGGTACCTATATAATTTATTTTCCAAAACAAGACCTATTTCAGAGTTAAAGGGGGACATACTTTCAGATAGATTGAAGAGCTAGTGGATCTTTGGCTTTCAATATAATCTCATTCTTATCAGCAAGGGAAGCTTAATTAAGGTCATTGGTGCTATGAGCTAACTCAGCCCTTCCTGGATTGGGTGGCTCTTTGAAACAGCTGTACGACCTTAACAAAGACAGGTCTCCAACAGGTGCTTATAAAGAGAAGAGTTAAAAACTTACCACCAGTAGAGCCAACAGAGTCTGGATTAACCAGCCAAAATTTATTTTGGCAGTGCTTCTAGACTTTAGTTCTCATTATGTCAGAGGATGGTTAATTGGTTTGCTTTTCTGTAGCCTCTACGTTTCCTTACACACCTCTTATTCTGGTCCTTAGCTGAGCCATAAAGTCGGGGATGTGATTAAAAGGCCATGAGGGGGATGTGCTTGTGGAGACTGCAGATTGTCATCTGGAAGGAAGGGCAGAGCTCCAAGTAGAGAGTTTGGCATCTAGTACATGGGCTATGGAGTCTGGATGCAGGGTCCCTAGGGTCTGGTTCCTATCCCAGGCTCTAGGATGCAAGTTAGTTCTCAGAAGCTTCAGAGAGCCCAAAAGTCTTTGTCAGGTTTGCTGCTCCTTTGTGAGTTTTCTTCTGTTGACTCAGTTCACTCATTTTATAATTGTAAAATTATATCATTTAAAGATTCTTCTAATCCAAGTTCAAAAATAAATTTGACCTAAAGGGAGTTTAGTGTTTTAGATATTATTTTTGAGAACTAGCTTTCTCTAAGAAAGCATGTGTGATAGTAAACCCTTAAAATTATTTTGTCTTAAATTATTGATTTTCTTTGTAGGAAACCACAGCTCTGGTGGAAAACCAAGATGAAGACCTACTAGAAGGTAACATAAACCTTGTGTTGCTAAAACACAAGTAGTTAAAAACAAAACTAACCCAATTTCCAGGTTCCTCGTTCACTCAACTGACTAGAAACTGAGAGATCCTACTGGAAAATACCAACATAGTTGTCTAAGTGTTTTTCTTTAGTAATTCATCTAGTTTTTGCAAATTGCTTCTTTGAGAACAAGTCTTTCTCAAGGACTGGGAAAAGGGGGCATTTCCAGAAAAATAAGACAATAAGTTGGTTTTTTTAAGATCTGTTTCCTCCGTAAGTTTAGACTTGGGGATTAATTATGCTTTAATTTTAATTTTTAAGGAAGAAAGCATGCGGCAATCACTGTGGCCTTGGCTTCCTAGCTTCCCTCAGGGTTATTGGTTCCTGAAGAACTCAACAGGTCCCCTCTGTAGTGTCAGGTGTTTCTTCATGTAGTTCTTGATTTGTTTTGAAAAGACCAAAATGTATCTGCCCAGAGAAGAGCCCTGTTTCTGAATGTGTCTTATTTGAGGAAGAGAAAAAAACATTTGGCTTCTTTTATTTTTTTTTAAGTTACGGGAAAGAGAAATGCAGAGAACTCTTTTGCCTGTTTCTTATCAACTGTCTGTCTTACCAATGCCCATCTGGCTTCTTCCCTTACCCCCACCCTAACCACATAAGACAAACCCACCCACTGCCTTTTTGATTTTATCAAAGGTGGGAACATCCATCTTTATAGTCTCAGTACCAGTACAAAGTCTGCATGTGGGTTGGTGTTCAATGTTTAAATAGAATTAAATTGATATTTAAAATAAATCTTTAAATGCTATGGGGCAGTTCTAGTTTTTAGTACTTTGAAATATGAATAGTGGGTGCCATTCCAGCTCTCAGGGGGATTTCAGTCTGGTTACCGTGTGAGGCTGTCCTAGCTTTTACCAGTTCTCTAGATGGTCTATAAAAATGACAGAGGGAGGCGTATCATAAGATTGTGCTGTCTGGATCCAGCCTGCCAGGGTGCAGATCTCTTTTATAAGCTCTGTATTCCAGGCAAATTAACCTGCAATGCACTGGCATCCTCACCTGACAAATGGGACTTAAAACCTACCTCATACAAACTGTGAGGACAATACTTTTAAAGTGCTTTTAATGGTTTTAACAGGTCTGGGACAGAATAACCTCTCAAATGTTAGCTATTCATTGACCTGGGCAACTCTGTCCAGTAGAAATGTAATGTGAAACACAAATCCACCCACATAGGTGGCTTTAAATTTTCTAGTAGCCAAATTTAAAAAAAGAGGGGGGGCAAAATTAATTTAAGTATTTTAAACTTAATCTTATATATTCAAAATATTATATCAACATGGAATCAATATAAAAATGTAATGAGATTACAAAATTTTTAATACCAATTTTTCAAAATGCAGTGTATATTTACATCACATCTCAACTAGACTTAGCCACACTTCGAGTGCTCAATAGCCACATGTGACTAGTGGCCACTGTATTGGACAGCATAGATCAAGAGAGCCCACAGCTTTAGGAAAGATGTAATTCATCTGTCTTTTATAGGCTACTATTATTCCAATGGCCAACCTCACTGGAAGGGCCTAGATCATTAATCTGTGATTCCTAGTTGACGTCCGTTTTCTAGGCCACAGGTTACAGGACAGAGATGTTCATAAGCATGTGGTCCTGACATCTCTCCCCCAGCCAGGGACATGCAGAGTCAGAAGCTTTTTAGCCAACTGCCCATGCCAATAACAGAAAGGACTCTGCAGCATGACTTTAGGAAAGAAAAATCCAGAAAGGTCAGGGAAAACTAGAATTATCTCATTTTATGATTCCTAGCTCTCAAAGGAAAGATAGTTCAAAAGGGATGAGAAGCTCTAAAGAACATAAATCAGACAACACAGTCACAAATGACTTGAAGAAAAAGAAGAAGTAGCTCATGAAGCTTATATGATAGGCGGGGGCTATTTCATGATCTTTGTTCTAAAATGATAAATACGGAAGGACATTGTATTAGTAAGTGGGCTGCTATAACAAAATACCACAGACTGGGGAGCTTGAACAACAGAAATTTATATCTTGTAGTTCTGGACAGTGAAAAGTCCAATATTAGGTGCTAGCTGACTCACTTTCTGGTGAGGGCTCTCTTCCTGGTTTATGGATGGCCACCTTCTTATTTCCTCAGGGAGTGAGGGAAGAGAGATCTCAAGCTTTGATGTCCTTTGTATAAAGGGCACTAATCCCATGGAGCTAGGGCCCTACCCTCATGATCTCATCTCACCCTAATTATCTCCCAAAAACCCCATCTCCAAATATCAAATCAAAAGTTAGGGTTTCAACATATGAATTTTGGGAGGGTGTGGGGAACACAAACTGTTTGTAACAGGCATATAAATAAATACATGAGCACGTGAGTATTAGGAAGCAAATTATGGCCCTAAATGAGCTAAGGCTTGCAAAACTTATGAAGGAAAACAGAAAGGATTTCTTCAGTTACATTCAATATAAGGAGAAAAAATAGAATACATTTAAAAAGTCAGTGATCTTAGAAACCTGTTAATTTGAATATCTAGGTCTGATGTTTTTGTGATAACGTAACACTACCTTCTCATCACAGGGTTCCAGATTTTAGAGACGGAAGGTCAGGTTCCTCTTTTTCTCTAAATTACCAGTAGTTGCTGTATATAAGTTATTCACATATCAATCTGTTAACTAAGCAGGTAAAGTAGCATGGTTATTTTTTCAAAGCCCTGTCAGGCACTTGGTCCTGGCTTACTGTTTGGCACTATATCCACCCAAGTGCTCATGCCAGAAACTCAGGAGTCATCTTTTACTCTCCCCCACCCCCCGCCACCTTTTTCCCTTACCCTAAATTGACTCCATCTCTAAATAGTGTCTGTTGATTCCATCCACTTTCTCCTCATTTGCCATCCAGATGCTCGTTGAGTCTGGTAGTACTACTTATTTTTTAGGTTCAATTTCTTTTTTCAAGTCTTTTTTTTTTTTTTAAAGATTTTATTTACTTTTAGAGAGAGGGGAAGGGAGGGAGAAAGAGAAGGAGAGAAACATCAACGCGTGGCTGGGGACCCAGCCTGCAACCCAGGCATGTGCCCCAGCTGAGAACTGAACTGGAGGCCCTGTGGCTCTCAGTCCCACACTCAATCCCCTGAGCCACACCAGCCGGGGCTCTGTTTTCAAGTCTTATTGAAAGGAAATACAATGTAAAAGTTTTAACATTAATTGTCTGCAACATTTCCTGCTAATGTTTTTTAAAAGCTGTAAGCCATTTCTAATATATACCCCGTCAAATTCTACTTTTTACATGCATTATTGGTTTCTACAGATCCCAATCTTCATTTGAATATCGAGGAATTAAACAAAGAGTTTATGGTGAAAAGTGAAGAACTCTACGACTCTCTCATGAATTGCCACTGGCAGCCCCTGGATACAGTTCACTCTAAAATCCCAGATGAGACTCCGCAGAAGCCAGATGTTCATTAAGCTACCCAATGATCATATTAATTGTATTCTGTTTTGTTTTTGTTTTTCAAAAATATTCTCCCAGGGATATACGGGGTTCTGTATGTAAACACAAATATCCAGAACTTAAATATGATTGAAATGATAGAACATATTGTAAATAAATGTTATCAGCACACCCATTTCCGAAAGTGTGTTATCTTAAATAAGTGCCAGAGGAGGTCATGGTAGAACAAGCTGCACTGTAAGACATTTGAAAGTAGATATAATATGAAATGGGTCTGACCTGACCTGACTGTGGCCTTGCCTATTCTGATGTGATTTGTGATTTGCTAATTTCCTCTAATGTTAAATGCTCATGGAGAGAAATCCTATCCATAGAGATGCAAGGTTTCTTGCCTGCATCTTGTATAGGAAATGTAGATTAGAACTTGATGTTTGATCTCCATTTCCTGACCCACAAGCTCTCTCATGGCAGAACTGGACAGTAGAAAACATTGGAGACTCGCTTACCTCATTTGAACAGAAAAATTCCTAAGCATGGAAAAAGTTTGCTATCTTCCTTTTAAGAATGGAATTGGGCCTCCATAAAAGCCAGCTCTGAAACTTCAATGCATGTTTTGACTGTGCCCCTTGTAAAAGTATGCTTTCTTTTTTATTCTGAAGATGAACATGGTCCTGTTTATTGCTTTGTCAGAGATGGATATTAATTAAGAGCCCTGGGACTCATCTGGGTGACTTGAAGACCTAAAGACTTGTTGCTTAAAGGGTAATCAGACCCTTTACTGCTCTGAGAGCGGTTAAAACACACTAATCCTTGTCCCAAATAGATTCAAAGAGCCAAATCCAACATGGAGAGTCAGGTGGCTGCAGCCCCTCTTGCAGGAGCTTCCTATGCCTCATAGCATAGGACAGGGTTTCTCAACCTTGGCACTACTGAAATTTTTTATCAGACACTTCTTTGTTGTGGGGGATGTCTGTGCATTGTCCTGACCTCTACCACTGCATGCCAGTAGCACTCCACACTCCAGTCGTGACAACCAGTAGGTCTCTAGACTATGCCAAATGTCCCCTGGTAACAAAATTGCCTCCAGCTGAGAATCACTGGTCTAGGGCAGAGGTTCTCATCAGAATTGCCTAGAAGGAGTGTTAAAACACATTTTCCTGGGTATTACCATCAGAATTTGACTCAATAGGTCTGGGTGCAACCTGAAGATTTTCAATTCTAAAAAGTTCCTAGGTAATGCTGATGCTACTGGTGCCGATATGACACTTTGAGAACCACTGTCATTGGGACATTGCCAACTGGTTCAGTTTAGCTCTACAGAGTAAGGAGGGTGAGGTTCTCCTTTCATGTTCTCCACCCCAACACAAGGTGTACAAGTCCCTACTTTCCTCTAGAGCCTTCGTCTGTTTAGTATGAAGTCTCCTCCTAAAGCTATGTGTTTTGGAGACCAGCACCATGTTTGACCCCAGGAAATGGCTCTTATATCATCTGAGCAATGTGTAGTGGTCCCATTTCTCTTGACAGTGATTTGTTTATATGCAGACATGACAAAATTCTGGCTAATGAGATGTGAGGAGCTTTCCTCACTTTTAAATGGAGAAACAAAAGATAGCTGCCTTCTCTTTGAACATAAGATTTAGGTGTGATTCCTGGCACTGTTGCAGCCATATTGTGACCATTAGGGGAACAACCTGAAGGCACTGTAGATCCACTGGGAATGACAGTGAAGGAAGATGCCAAGAACCGGATCCATGACATTTGGCATTCAAATAGCACTGAGCCTTTGAATTAGCCAACCCCGGAATCTCTACATCTGGATTCATCATGCAGTACAATAATATATTCCCTTACTCTTTTCCCACTCTAAATTTTTGTTATTGTAGAAAAACATCCTCACAGATACAGCTAGCATGTGCCAAAACTTGGTGTCCTGGAATCAAAAGGAGACCAGTTATTGTGTCTAGAGCTGTGCTATCTAATATGGCAGCCCCATGTGGCTATTGGTATTTAAATTTAATTAGTGAAAACTAAAACTTGAGTTCCTCTGCTTCAGTACCTACATTTCAAATGTTCAAGGGATACTGTATGAGGCAGTACAGATTACAAAACATTTTTATCACTGCACAAAGATTTATTGTGTAACACTGGTCTGGCAGATAAGGGGAAGAGGTCTGACACAAAATTACAGCAGTGTTTTCTCAACCATTTTTTATTACAGCCCCCTTCAGGAGCCCTTCTAGACATTTTTTCCCTAATCATTTGCCCCATGAAATTTTACTTTCATAGGTATTATAGGAGGTATCCAGCCATATAATATGAAAAATAGAGACATGTATTGAAGAAGATACAAGTTACAAGAAACATTGTACTTAGAACAGTGATGCCTCAGTTTCCTTCCAAGTAGGCACCTTGGGACGTCACACAGTTCTCCCAGTCACCATCAGCTGCCCCATGGTATTTTCCTGAATGTCACTGGTGGTCAGAAATCTCCATTTCAAAGGTGATTTTACTTTTGGGAAAAGCCAGAAGTCACAGGGTGCCAATTCTGGGCTGTAAGGGGACCTGGGTGATTTGATGTTTCACCAAAAAAGATCTCTGCACAAGGCATAATGCATGAGTGGGTGCATTATGGTGATGAAGCAGCCAATCACCAGTGGCCCACAGCTGCAGCCTCTGAATCATCTGAATAGTTTCTGCGGAGGAATGTTCAAGCTTAAGTCAAAATTTGATTCAGATTCATTGATCTACTTGCTCAGTCATTTTGAATGCCATGGCCACACAGTACACATGCTCACTCAATGGCACCTACCACTCCCACTAACTAGTACAGTGAAGTCATCATTGTTCACACATGTGCATTCAAGTCCACTCTCCTTGGCTGCCAGGTCACCCCAATGTTGCACAAACCTTTCTCGTTATATTAACAGCAGCTGGACTTTTTCTGGACAGACCTTTTATATACTTTATGTCTGTGCTTTATACAATGAAAAGAGTAAGTATTTTTTATTCCCCTCCTCCACTCAAGAACAAATTTTTACCTCTTTGGGGTGATCTTGTCCCCTATTTTGAGAATGCATGGGTTATCATGTTAGCCATGAGTAAAGTCAGGCAGAGATTTTAAGTCACCATAATGAATTTGAATTTTATTAAAATTGTATTGGAAAGCAACTAAAGGATTTTAAGGAGGAGACTCACGAGGTCTGTTTTATGTCTTAAGAATATCACTTGGGCCCTGACCAGTGTGGCTCAGTTTGTTGGGCATCATTCCACAGGGCTAAAGGCCACCAGTTCAATTCCTAGCCAGGGCACATGCCAGGGTTGCTGGTTTGGTCGTGGTTGGGAAACGTATGAGAGGCAACTAATTGATGTTTCTTGCTCACATCAATGTTTCTCTCCCTCTCTTTTTTCCTCCATTCCCCTCTCTCTAAAAATAAATAAAATCTTTTTAAAAAATAATATCACTTGGGCTTCTTTATTGGACCTAGATTGGAGGGAGATAGGAGCAGAGGTCGGGGTCACAGTCAGGAAACTTGCAGCTGCCCTGTAAGAGAGACTGGAGGTTTATCCTAGGGTGGTAGGTGTGTATTTGGAGAGAGATGGCAAAATCTGAGGTACTTTCTGAAGATGAAGTGGCAGCTCTTGTTGATAGTAGTGAGGGAGAAGGGACTAGTCAAGAGTCACTCCTCAGATTTTGGCTTGAGTGTTTACATGGAAAGTGGTTCCATTTATTAAAATGGAGAAAACTGGGAGAATAATAGAGTGAGAGAGGGTGGTCATTTTCAAAACTTCAGTTATGACTATTTCAGAATTGAGATACCTGTTAAACATTAGGTGGGAATTGCTTGAAACTTTTGAAATGACTCTATTGCACCAGTATCCTTTTTTTAATTGTTGATACTATAGAGATCTCTCCCATTTTCTCCGCTTTGTTCCCTTCCATCCTCAGCCTTCACCACATTGTTGCCACGGGCCAAACCAACTGAGCCACACTTGTCAGGGCCCAGGTGATATTCTAAAGACATAAAAAAGACCTCAGGAGGCCCCTTCTTAAAATCCTTTGGTTGCTTCCCAATATAATTTTAATAAAATCCAAATTCCTACGGTGACCTAAAGGTCCCTGCCCTCACCACATTTTTGTCTGTGTCCATGGGCTATGCATATAAGCATGTATGTTCCCTGGCTGATCTCTTCCAGTCCTCCCCATGCTGCTTCCCTCTGAGATCTGTCAGTCTGTTCCATGTATCCATGCCTCTGGCCATATTTTGTTTGTCAGCTTATTTTGTTAATTCATCCCCACATATAAGTGATTTCATTTGTTTTTCTCTGACTGGCTTATTTTGCTTACATAATAATCTCCAGGTCCAACCATGCTGTCACAAAGGGTAAGATCTCCTTTTGAATGGATGTGTAGTATTCCATCGTATAAATGCACCACCTTTGCTTGAAGCTTGCAGAAGTAAGGAATCTATTCCTTTCTGCCTTTTCAGCCAAATGTGGACCATTACTGAGATGCCGGTATTGGTGATTAAGGCCACTGAAGCCTGAAAGATGAGAGGCCATGTGAAGGAAAACTGAGGTGCACCTGCAAAGAGCCAGCACCATTTGACAGGCATGAGAGTGAGGCCCTATTGGAACTGTCCATGTCTATGACCCCATGAGTGATCCCAGAGGAGACCTGCAGAGAAGCCACCCAGTGGATCCCAGCTTGATTTGGCAGTAAAAGGAACAGGGTGCAGACACATACTAGCAGGGCAAAATTTTGACTTTAGTGAAGCAAATATTTAAGAAATGGCCATGAATACATGTGTTTTGCATATTTGTTGTAAAGAAACAATTTATATTTATGTCAATCTTGTGCATAAATAAAAAATATGATTTTAAAGTGTGTCTAAAATTTAGACTCTAAATGAGGCTAGAACAGAGATGGGTTGAATAATAACTACTTTTGGCTTTTTAGGCCATACTGTCTTAGTCCCACCTACTTATCTCTGTCATTGTTGTGCAAAAGCAGCCACAGACTATAAATAAATGAATGAGCTAGACTGTGTTCCAGTCAAACTTTACTTATAAGAATGGGGGCAGGCCAGATTTAGGTCATGGGTCATAGTTTGTCCACCCCTATTCTAGAAGAACTCCTTTTAAATGTTTTAAGTAAAACTTTTAAGTGGTACAAAAGCATTACCAAAGTTTAA